GTGATCCAATTTTTTTCGTGAGAAACATAGTACAACACAGGTTCTCATAGACACGTACATAACAACCACCCCTATGAATGTACGCACGCACAACCTACCCCTATGAACACCCTCGAAGGACTGAGCCAGCGGCTCTTGAGATCTACGAAGCCACCAGGGCGCCTCGCTGTCGATGGAAACATCACCTCCCACCAGGGTGAGAAACATAGTCAACACAGGCTCGTCACGCTGACATATGAGTACCTTCCCGGACATGACTCGTCAACGTCTTACTTCTCCACCTCACCTTGGGACGGCTCGCTGAAAATGGGTGATTCCATGCCGGCCGTCCCCGTGGTGCCTCCCAATTATCTCAATGCCACACATGTGCCGACCAGTCCAGTGGGACATCGAGGAAGCGCCCGTGGGTGGTCTGACCAGATAACTTACCTTATGCCTGCAACTTGTTTGATGGAATGTCGGCCCTGATGCAGGACGACCTGAGGTACTACGGTGATCTCATGGAGGGGATGATTGGTGCCCAAGGGGATGGTTACGAAGACACTCAAGGCCAAGAAACTAAAGACCATGAGACCGAATCCCAAGAGAGTGTCGGCATCGAGGGTGAGCCATTGTTCGAGGAAGAGCTAGTTGAGCAAGCCCGGTCACAAAAGAGGCAGCAAAGCATGAGGACCGGAGCATGTACAGAGGACGAGGACAAGTTGTTTTGCTATGCTTAGACGGAAATTGGACAAAATCCCAAAACCGGCACCGAGAAAAAGGGTTCAACATTTTGGTGGAGGGTCCATGATTTCTTCCATGAACATACTAAGTTTGAGCCGTACAAATTTGAGAGTGACCGGAGGGACGTGTCACTTTGAAAGAGGTGGGGCTTTATCCAAGCGGAGTGTAGCAAATTTTGTGGCTTCTATGATCATGTTGTTGCCCGCCCTGTGAGTGGCATTGGCGTCAAGGACTTGGTATATTGTTCGTTTCCCTCTTCATATGAGCACATACCGTCCTCCTATGCATATAAATGTATCTTGTTGGTTTCATCTATATATGAAGGTGTTTCAAGCTTTGGAAACTTTCAAGAACGAAATGGGTGCAAGCCATTTACCTTGACCTGTTGTTGATGAAAATCAATGATTGTCTAAAAGTGGAAGGACCAATATGCGGCACAAAAAATTGAGGGGGGAGGGACTCATCGTTGGTCGACCTAAGCGAGAAGAGGCTGAGAGGGAAGACCAACTCCAAGGTAGATGTAAAACATGATGCTTCGACACTCGCCTTGCAAGAAACTTTGAAGGGGTTCATAACCCAAAAGGAGGGATCAAGTGAGAAGAGGAAAAGAGGAAAGAGAGGAAGTGCCAAGAGAAAGAAGAGGCCATGAAGAACTCGTTTGACCTACAAAAGAAGAATCTCACAATCAATGATGAAAATGCCCGGTCAGCCAAGAAAGTGGAGGTGAAGCAAAAGAATTGTGCTAATCTTCAAGAAAGCGAAGGTCATGGCAACCGATTTGAGTAAGATGACCCCAAAAAGGGGCTTGGTTTGAGAGGAAGCAAAAGTTCATGATGGACCGAGATGCGTAATCATCCTATATTTGTTTGTTTTCCATGAACTATGATCGAGATGCATTAACTATGGTTATGGTATGCACATGTGATTTTTGTGTGCAATGTTTATGCTGGCCTTAGGGCTGGAAAAAAAGCTCGAAACTCGCGAGCTAAACAAGTAGCTCATGACTCGGCTCGAACTCGAACAATAACGAGTCGAGCCGAGCTTTAGTTTAAGATCGTTTACAGGACGAGTTAAACGAGCCGATCTCACAAGTACTCGTATAACTCGTTAGGCTCGGTAAAAGAATCAGTGTTTTTTGATGGGTAGTAAAAACAAACACTAAACACCTTGCGTCCAAGCACAAGGCCCAACCGCTCAAAGCCTAGTCACCTAGGAGACTCACATGTACATGACCATATATGTCCATGTTAAATTCCCAGTTAATCTTTTTGTCGTATTCGTAAGGTTTTTATGTTCATATCTTTAACGAGCTTAACAAGCTAAACGAGTCAGCTCGCAAGTTATACGAGTCGAGCCAATCTTGAATTTAAGCTCGTTATAGTAACGAGTCGAGTCGAGCTAGCTCGTTAATGAAACGAGCTTTAGCGAGTCGAGTCGAGCTGGCTCGACTCGGCTCGAATTCCACCCCTAGCTGGCCTGAATATGATACCATGCAAAAATGCTACCTCCGGTTCAAATTAATTGTAGTAATAGTTTTAGTATAACCTTGTACTCAGCTGGAGTAGATTTATTTCGCTAAATCTACGACATGCTTTTAACACTAGTGTAGAACGCTCTAATATTAATGGGAGAGAGGCAGTATATTTGATGAAAAAAACGAATGGCGTGGACCCCTGTCTAGCACATTACGTGTGCCTTTGGGTCGGCTGGTTGGAGTCGCCGAGCGTCCGGACGGAAGCCTTCCGGAGGGAGCCGAGCCACCAGCGAGGTGGCCGTGTCCTCTCCCCAGTTCCAATGGCGCGCCGCCGCGTGCTCCTCTACCTCAAGCCCTTCGATGTCTACCCTCCGCGCCCTCTCTCCGGCGCCTCCTCCCTCACCTTCCCGCCACCGCCTCCGCCGCCGCGCGCCGCCAACCCCAAGGTCCGCACCTCTCTCGCTCACCCTCTCCGTTTCGAGAAACCTTGGTTACGCCGGCGTTCACGGTTGTCGATGCGCCGGAGGGGGTTTCCGGTGGACTCCCAAGTTCCCGTGCTCCGGCGAGCCGTTGGGATAAAATGGTGGTGGAGTGGAGTTCACCTCGTCGTTCAGAAATCGTGAACTTGAGCTGGTTAACCAATGGTTTCTAAAGGACCGTGCTTGCGCTGATCCATTGTTATCTGTGCGCGTCTTTGGCGTCTGGCTGTATGATTTTTCATCTCCATTTTTGTTACAATACATGTCGTTTGAACTTCCCATGGGCTGGCACTGAGCACACCAGCTGTTTGTTGAAATACTTGTGTGGAGTATGAGCTCTGGTCAGTGATTAGGACTCGAGGTGCAGTGTTCTATGAACTGGTGGGTGCCAGAAATCCTTTCTAGGTCACAATGTGGACTTCCAGTTGGATTTCAGCCTGAATTACTGTCTGTTATTGAGAAATCTGCCATCTTGCTTGTCAGATCAACATCTACTGGGAGAAGTTGCATAACTAGCTGAATCTAACAAGCTTCATTTCCCACTTTCTTGCTGCATAACCATTTTTACCGACATGAATTAAGGGTTTCATGCCTCTTATCGTCAATTTAATGTCTTGTTGCAGATCTTAAGTTATCTGGACCATAGATGCAGAGTCCACAAGGACACAATCAATCTCTGTAAGAGTGTACTACAGCGCAAGCCCCTTGACTGGATCTCAGTGCAGCGAAATCATTTGTCAAATCCAATACATGATGTGGATCTTGTGATTACTGTCGGTGGTGATGGCACACTTTTACGGGCTAGCCATTTTTTGGATAGCTCGATTCCCATTTTAGGTGTTAATTCGGATCCTACGTGTTCTGATGAGGTTAGTTCTTTGGACGTTTGCCAATAATCATCTATTGAAACCAATCACATTAGCAATGCTTGTTGACTATCATTTGCATATGTTCTTCTTTGCACGCTTCTAAGCAGACTAATGGTTATACATATGCTTGATGGGTATGTTTATGGTTTTATAACGCCATGCAGGTTGAAGAGTTAACCGAGGAATTTGATGCGAGAAGAAGCACCGGATATCTTTGTGCAGCTACTGCCAGGAACTTTGAGCAGGTATGTTTCTGTCGCCTAGTCTTCTTGCTTGAGGGTCTCAATTCGTTTTCTTACAGAAATCACACTAGTCTGCTTTTATACAGTCGGAACATTTACCAAATTTCTTGAATGTTACCGTTCTCTTGAACATGACATATTCTCAGATACTTGATGCAACCCTTGCTGGCAGTAGACACTATTCAGAGCTGTCAAGAATATCTGTGAAACTAAATGGATCCCAGCTACCAACTTATGCTCTGAATGATATATTGGTGTCACACCCCTGTCCGGCAAGTGTATCGCGGTTCTCATTAAGGTACTGACTTTGAGCCTTTCTGTAAATATTGATGATTTTCTGTGATCAATTCTAACTGGTATTACCATTTTAGAAAAAGAAGCAATGGGGAGACCTCATGTTTGATTAATTCTAGATCAAGCGGTCTCAGGGTTGCAACAGCTACTGGATCAACTGCTGCCATGCTATCAGCAGGAGGATTTATGATGCCAATATCAAGTCGTGAGCTTCAGTATATGATAAGGGAGCCCATTTCACCAACGGATGCCGACAAACCACTGCTGCATGGGTTAGTTAAGCAAGAGCAACATATGCTTGTTGTTTGGTACAATCAAGAGGGTGCTGTGTATATTGATGGTTCTCATGTAACATATCCAATCCAGCATGGGGATACACTTGAGATCTCCTCAGATGCTCCAGTCTTAAAAGTTATTTTACCAGAATATCTGTTAAAGCAGGCATCTTTATAATGAAATAACGGTATCACTGTTGTGCTTGACTGCTTATTGATCTGGCATGATGTTTGAGGCAAGCGGAATTCTTGAGTACATTAAACTACTACCTCTGTTCATTAATATTAAACTGCCAAAACGTCTTATATTAATGAACAGAGGGTGTAATATATAAACATATCGTTATATACAATAGAGTTAATTTGCGATATCAAACGAAATAGTAGATGGTGATTTTGTAGTTTACCCTTTTTGAAGCAAAAGCAAAAGCAACATTAGACCGTCAGAGTTTAGATTAGAGATAGTGTTTTGTCAGAATCTTAATAATCTTATCCTTTCAGCAGTTCTGAAGCAGAGAGTGCTTTGCATTCTTAGTAGAATTAGGCGTTTTTATGTTAGTAGCTACATTGTACTGCCAGAATAGACATAGTGGCCTAGCCCTAGTGGTTCTTGCAGGTGTACAGATCTGAAATACATCTAACATTTAAGTCGCAAAATGTCTCAAGCTACCATCAACATCTAAAGATGACGAGTCACTGGTGTTGTTACATGATGCTTGTGCCGTTATGCTCTGGCTCTCATTTGGATTTTCCCAGAAATTTCTGCGTAGACCACTTGAGCTCAGGCTGTTTGCAGCAAGGCTGAGTTCTGATAGGAAGGGTTGCAGGGGGGTATGGCCCTCGAGCAGGCTCACAGCATTGGACATCTTTGGTCTAAGTGTAGGTGCTGCGTTGGTGCATAAGAGAGCCACATTCAGCATGAGGAGTGCCTCTTCTGTTGAGTAATTGGATCCTAAGTCTGGATCTACCAGCTCCAGGAGAGTTCCTCTCTCATGTAAAACACAAGCCTGGAACACATTTAAGAGATGCAATTAGCCTCTTCCTTCAAGCGTTCAAGGTATGTATGCGAGAATAAAGCATGAACTGTCAGAGTTTAGCATTTTGTTTCACTACAGCGCACCCCCCCTACATGAAAATGATACAGTTTCCTTTAACTATTCTCTCAAATGACACATCCTTAATTTGTTCCGCTAGAGGCAAAGATCATGCGTTTTAACAATATGTGATTCGCAAATGAGTATGCCATTTTATGAGATAATTCTACTATGTTAACGCGAACTGATTCTGAAACCATAGAAATTTCCATAATCTGATGTTGTCAACTACTACCTCCGTCCCATAATATAAGAGCGTTTTTGACACTAGTGTTGTGTAAAAAACGCTCTTATATTATGGGACGGAGGGAGTAGCATCCATGCCTCTACATGGTGACCAAATTATTTACCAGAATTTTAAATTAGAGGTAGCTTAAATTCATCCATATCTAAGAGAAATTTGGGTAGATTTGAGTGTCCAGGAGAAGTTTGGTTCTAAGGGACAGAAGGCTGAGATAAAAAAACGACTTACGCCCTATTGCGCCGACTGTGTCTAACTGGTTTTTGTTTGCACAAATAATTTTTTGGAGGCACTTATTAATTGCTTTGGATGTGAGGCGATCACATATCGAGTCCATTCAGTATGGTCCAAATTACTGGGAAAGGGGGATGAAGGCTTAGAAGTTACCCAATCGAGAAGATAAACAAAATCTTCTTTTGGCCTGTAGTTTGTGTTGCTTTTTCCACTCACAATTTCCAAAGCAACAACCCCAAAACTGTAAACATCAGCTTTGTCTGTCAAATAACCACGCATTGCATACTCAGGAGCCATGTATCCACTGCAAGAATGATAAAATCAAATCAGCTGTAAACTGTACAGCTAAACGGAGTTACTTAGATATGCCGAAAAGTAATATCCATCCTTAATTGTTTGAATGAAAATTAAGAATACCGTCTAAGCATCCTATTTCATGGAAAATGTTAATCTAGAGTTGATTGCATGTTTTTTGTCATTTATGTTTGTATGCAGGAAAGCCAACAGGTCCAACATTTATGTGGGTTTATGACCAGCTCATCTGATGTCAACTTTTATCTCTATGGATGTTCTGTATTTTTGCCAGAGGTAAATGTTATACTCTCTCCATCCCTGTTTACATGATGCCCACACGTTTCGAGATTCAACCTTGACCATCAATTTGTCGGACGAAACGTTGGTTATGTGCCATAAAAAATATATCATTGAATTCATATTCAAAAAAAGTTCCTAATGTATTAATTGGCCAAAATATGGTCAAAGTTCAATCACAAAAAAATGAGGGCGCCATGTATATAGGGACGGAGGGAGAATTGTTCATCACTTCACTATTACTTTACTTGTAACTGCTTTTTTCTTATCTTTTTGTTATTGATCTAATGGCAATGTGTGGATAGATTTTTGCATTTTGGAAAAAAAGTATGCAATTGAAAGTACTTACATAGTTCCAGCTACTTTTGTGCTTATGTGGGTGTGACCATCTTCATTAAGCTTTGCTAGACCAAAATCTGAGATCTTAGCATCCAAATCTTTGTCAAGCAGTATATTGCTAGCCTTGATATCTCGGTGCACAATCCTTATTGCAGACTCCTCATGCAGATATGCCAGACCCCTTGCTATTCCCAGGCAAATCTTACGTCTTGTTGGCCAATCCAATGCCAGTCTATATTCTTCAACTGGATCGCGCAATACAAATTATTCATGAGTTCTAACATGCAACACTAGTTAGGGGGGGGGGGGGACCAATAAATACAGGGAGTATGATTACCAAAGAGAGCACGCGCAAGGCAATTATTTTCCATGTACTCGTAAACTAGCAAGAGCTGGTTTCCCTCTGTACAACAGCCATACAGCCTGACAAGGTTTGGATGCTGGAGTGCAGATATCATGCCTATCTCATTCACAAATTCACGATTCCCTTGCTTGGACTTTGATGATAGCTGTTTGACAGCAATAATGGTGCCATCGGACAACGAACCCTGCTAGCACAAACGATGTTTCATTACAAGAATCGTGTAATTTAACTTGAGTTTGTAGAATTTAAGCATGGGAGAGAGTGAAGACTGACCTTGTAAACTGAACCAAAACCACCTTCGCCAATCTTGTTGGCTGGATCAAAGTTCCTAGTTGCTGCTTTGATTTGTCTCAAGGTAAATGAGCCAATTTGGAGGTCAAGTGCCCGGAGATCTAATAAAAGTTATCATATGGTCAGAAATATTCAAAACCTACAGTTTAAGATTATGATTTCCACTAGGTTTATATTGCTATATAGTAGTCATCTTGCTATTGCTTGTTCAGCTGAGAAGTGGAAAGTAGAGAGATGCTATAGATGGTGTGTATGAATGGTGAAGCAAAGCGAAAGATAGACACCAGTTTGTCGCTGAAGGTATACAGCTACAGGACAGACCCAGTGCTAGAAGCTCCCACACCAGGTGGGGTCTGGGGAAGGATTATACGAGGCAAGCCTTAGCCCTCCACAGTGCAATGCAAAGAGGCCGCGTGGAACCCAGGAACTCTTGGCACAAGTGGGGACTACTTCACCACTGCCCCAGGCCTGTCCTTGTCATTGTCGTTGGAGGTTTAAATAGAAAAAAGTTGATTAAAAAATATTTATAGCACCTTGATTCACCAAGTTCTTCCGTCGTCGCTTAATCCAGTAGATGCCAACAACAAGAGCAGTGAATATCGCAATAATTGGGGCTCCAATCAGCAAAGCTTTAGATGTCCTGGAAGTATTTGTGCCACTGCCACTACGGGGAGGTTCAACAGCCAAAGGAATTTGGAAGTCTGAGTATGAACACACATAAACCAAAATCACCAGATCATTAAAGAATAATGCAAGAAGTCAGAGGATGCCGCCATGTGCTGTTCCTTGTAAACACTGTACCCTTGCCCACAGTGATTAATGGCACACATCATGCAAAAGCAAAATTCAGAAATAATATGTTAAAAATTACATACTTGGAGTTACTGATATTGCAGATATTAGAGGGCCGTAGAATCCTCTTTTTGGAATGCCTGTTGTCCCTCTTCCTGCCCAATAGAATTGAATTTCCAGTGTATGATTTGTGACATACGTTATGAAAGTCTTGATGACTAGCTTTCCAGCCCCACCAGCAGATTTCTCAATATCAAAATCCTCTAGCACCATTCTTCCCTGAGATCATACAATATCTTGTTACTATCACAGGAGCTAACAAGCTACAGCTATTATTAAAATGTAAATGATCGGATATCTGCCTATCTACTCATACCTGTATGAACACATTGAATTTTCTTTTGCCAAGGCTGTAGTATGTGCTGTCATTGGTAAATATAATTTCGGCAAAATGGAGTTTAACTGTGTAGCTCCCATTATGCATACAAAGCCCATAATATGTGAGCGAAAGAGGAGAAAGGCGTGCTCTTGCATACAACTTGGAGTTGGGCATGGTCAGTTTTGATGTGCTTGACACAATGTAGTTGTCATCATTGATGTTGTCGTCCATGAAGTTCCCAGTGCTGCTGAATGCCCAGTTATCTGGGCTTACATACAACATGGAAGCACCTTTTGGTGTGGTGTCACCTTCATATTTTACGCCATTGACAATTGCTTCTTTGTCTCCACAATTGATATGCAAGGATGATCTGTCTGTGAAAATGCGTAGAACAGTATTACATACAGCTTCAATGGTCATCTCTGGGGGGCTCTTACGCGACTAGGCCGAGGAAACCTCCACTAGTGGCTGAACTGAAACACATCATCCCATCCATTCCATCAAGTAAGTACGGGTCCCCAGTGACATATTAAAGAATGCCAACTTTCTCCCAACCGGTCTGTGAGAAGAAATGCCTAGATACTCGGTATGAGGAGAGCTCGGTAAGCAGGCAAAGAGCAGGGTTTGGTAGGCTGAGCCTCTTCTGGGGCAGGAAATTGGTCTATACCCACAGTTGCTTTTGTTTTTTGGCTTCTGTGTTACAGATTCTTTTTTACTGTTTTGGCTTATGTGCTTAACAGTTAACACCAATGAACTTATGCACAGGATCTAATTACATCCTTGTGAGTTATCTTGTTGCTTGTGTTTCTTTAGAATTTATCCTGATAATTTTACAATCTAGCAATAGCAGTTTGTAACTTCTTCTGATTCATTGGTAAAGCTAGTCTTATTTTTCACAATCATGAGCGCCGGTATGAAAAGCGTCAGCAAACATCTGTTTGTTTTTCCCATTCGTTGGTGGTCCGAAGCAACTGCGGAAAAACAAATACTGGGCATCAACTCACATTGTCCATTCGAAGCACATGGGAAGTTCTTCTTCAAGCATGGCTGGACATTATTTCTGCACAAAAAGGTAGAATCACCCAGAGTAAAAGAAGATGTTATTATGTCTGGATTGGTCTGTTGGTCGAAAGTTCTTTAGTCTTTTGAAGCAACAGGATAAATAATCTTACAAGCTGTTCATTTCAGGTGAATAACTCTCCACTAGATTGCTGCAAATTGAAGAGTCACATAAACTATTTAATTATCACCACAAGTGTTGTGATGGAAAAAAAGTCAGAAATTCTGATACAGATTTCTTACGCGCTCCCTTGACATTGAGTAGGACGACCTGAGCTCCCAATTGTGAAATTATTAAAAGAGAGGTCCCTGCATTTGATAGTTTAATGGTAAATTTAATTATATCAAGTAAGAAATACATTTTTTGAGTTCAGACTGTTACAGATTCAATCATAGCACTAGCAGTCATATTACATTCTCTTAAGCTCTAAACTTCATGTATGGGCATAGCTATTTTGTTATGCAGCCAACAGAATTATTTAACAGACAGAGCAGATAGAGGCATGCCTGTTTAGCCGACGGAGCAGATAGAGGCGTCTAAATAATTTCTAAGGAAATGCTAACTGCGGTTGCTTGCGATCAAGAAAAACATCTTATAGTTTTTTTTTCCGTCATGAATGAATTGGGCATCAACACCTGATAACACTTTATATCTTAGAGATGTTAACTCTTATGTTCTGAACTTTTATGACAGCTTTTAGAAGATTCAGGAAAAGGAAATATGTGATAGAATTTCATGGATATCTGCAAGTATTAGCATATAAGAACGATGCATATTTAGAGTGTGCATGTACGCACGAACTTACACAATGCTGTTGCTTCGCAATAGCCAATCAGGTATGTTCCCAGTGAGTGAATTTCCAGTTAGATATCTGCAAGATTGTTTTTGTTGAGGTGCATCCAGGAAAGTAGCCCAAATAAAATAGCATGCCCAGTTCAATTTATTGTAAATACCAACTTACATGTAATCTACGGTTCCCCTATTAGTGAACGAATCTGTTACTTTTCCTGTCAGTTCATTAAAGCTCAGATCCCTGTATAGAGAACATTGATGATAAAAACATGTCAACAACGAGTACATTTAGTGCTGACATATTTTATGTGTACTCCCAACACGCTGCATTGATCTATAGTCTATACATGGAACCAACGTGATGAACTTACAGATGCGTGAGATTTTCCATGCTCCATATGTAAGAAGGGATTCCCCCGCTGATTGAACAATTCCTAAGGACCCTACATATAAAAATTTCATATGTACATGAGAACCCATGTACAAAAAGCCTGGAAACTCAGCAGATTTAAACTTACAATGCTTTCATCGATTGCATTCCTCTTAGATCCGGGAAAACTGATCCACTGTCTCTCAGATCACTAATTCTCCTGGTTAACAGAAAAATGCAACCAGAATTTTCCGCTTTAGTTAACACTTCTACCCAATAAATAAAGTGCATGGTGCAGCTGGAATTACGAGAATCTCAAACATTTGTCATCGTACAGATCAGAAAGGTTTGTCAATTTGGATAAGCCCAGGGGAATAGGCCCTTCCAGCAAAGATCCTTCGATTTGCCTGCATCATGAGAAATCCCCTTTAATAAATAACATACTTGGGTATCTGTGGATTTCCAATCTGTTCTGTCATGATCTCTCCAACTTACAGTTTTCCAAGCTTTGTCAGTTTAGCCAAGAAATCAGGAACTCTTCCAGATAAATTGTTTCCAGAAATCCTTCTGTTAGGAGATTCAATAGCTGAACATTACAAAAAGAGTCTGTGGTAGGCAACAGGGAAAAACAAAGATCTTAGTATCCTTACAAGTCGGTCAAATTGGTCAGCAAGGAAAGAGCAGCCGGCAGGGGTCCAGTGAACTCGTTGGTTGATATTATCCTGAGCGAAGATATATAGGTCATAAGGAAGTATGTTGACCAAATACCAGCAACTCTTGCCTGTTGTACAAAGCAAAATACTCACAGCTTCTCCAGTTGCATGAGATGCCCAATTTCAACTGGGATTTGCCCACGGAACTCATTTGCTTCAATGCTCCTTCGGATTATAATTTTCAGATTGTAGTTAGAAAAGAGAACTGAAAAGTAGAGAATCGAAGTTGTTTTCACCAAATTTCTTGCTTACAGGTTAGTCAAGGTTGTGATTCTCGTAAGAGCCATGGGAAAAGGCCCTGACAATCTGTTTCCCATTAGTGACCTGCAGGACTTTGGCATGAACAGATGAATGACATGCTGCATAATTCTGTTTTACGGCTTTTCATTTCTTATAATTATGCAAAATTTTGTGGCTTAACACGCGGAAATAACTGAAATTCTAATCATAGGGAACAAGTAGAAATTTGATTTATAAAAATGTATTTCACATTATTGCATGCTTGTCCAGTTTAGTTTTTCCGTTGATGTAAAACATAATCTTGTTAATATGGACTAGTTTATCAATCTTCTTTCCAAACATAAGGCATGCACATAATTGATGATTTTTCTCTGTTCCCTTGTTTACTTGTCGTTTATGACTAAACAAGCTTTCTTAATATACTTTTGGGGAATGATTTCCGTGCTATACTAAACCATGCCTCGTAGATGAAATTAAGGGCATTGTCATGGATCTCATCTCCCCTATGCCTGGTTAGAAGACTAGCAATTTTAACGCATCGACGACAAGACAGCGGCGATAAAAATGCTGCTTATTGCTTGATTTTATTCTTCGTGGATTCATCCTAGACTATATTCTGCACTGCTAAAAAGGTTGGTAGAGCACTGCACAAAAGATGCCTGGCATTTTGAAAACCGTGCTTGGGAGTAGCCTAATTTGTTGCCATCTGAGATGCTTTGCATGCCGACATTCCAGTCACGCTCCATAGATAAGATGGGGACTGTGCCTTCACCAGTTCCACCCAAAATGTAAACATTTCTAGCGGCATATTTTTCTTGGATAGTCCAAAATAGTTCCACATGCTACATTTTGCTGTACTACTCACTCAAAGATAACAACGGGTAAGGTGAAGGGCGAGGCCACTCACAGTCCTTGCAACTTCATCCGGGCCCACCGGTCAGGCACCGTGCCATGGAACAAGCTCCTGCTTAGGTGTCTGCAACAGTGTAATATGGAATCATGCTGTTATTATTCTCTTGAGAAACACCTTAATAAGTTTATGGCTTAGACTGATTTTTTTTAGCAAGGCTTGGATTAGTTTGACTGGCTGTTTAGTACTTACAGCTGGAGGAGATTAGGGAGATCAGCAAAATCTGGTGGGAGCTGGCCGGTGAAGTTCTGGCCCCTGAGGAATCTGTGAAGATGTTCGGAACAGCGCAAAAGGTATGTTAGAGCACAGAAATGTGTCAACATGATCTGCTCAGTTCTAGTCTAGTAAGATCAATTTTACAAGAAGGTGAGAAGCGCCAAGGAGTCATGCATGCATGCATACATACATCTCAGTGGCATGGCACATGGTATTGTTGTTGAAGGAGCAGTCACACTCCAAGCCGCCGCCGGAGCCACATGGATTGGCGGAGAAGTTCCAATGTGATATCCCCATATTTGCCGCGATCCGGCGAAGAGTGCGCACTGCAAGAATTGCAAAAGGAAAAAAATAAATCATGAACATGGCTTGAGCACATCCTTCTTCTCCATTACATCCACATCCACATGTACGCGGGGGAAGGAAGCACACAGCAAACGAGTAGTCTACAGTACTTGTTGCTACAGGGTTTGCATTCACTGAGACGGTACATATTGCGCAGCGCCCCGAGCCCCCCGCGTCGCCCCCGCTCGGGCGACTCGGGCGGGATCTCGATCCCTAGCCGCCGCCGGTCCCCTCCCCTCCCTTCCTCCCCTCCCTCCGCCGCCGCCGAAGGACGCCGCCGGCGATGGCCCGGGGCTGATGGCGGTGGCGGGGGTCCTCCCTCTTGCCTGCGCCGTGGGGGTGGTGCGGCGCCCCGCGGCATGGGTGGCGCGGCCGATCTGGCCTGGCGGCGCGGCGGCTGCCTCGGCCAAGGGCCGATCTGGCCTGGCGGCGCGGTGGCTGCCTTGGCCAGGGGCGGCGATGGTGGGGTGCGGCAGCCGGTTCTGCCTCAGGCTGCGTGGCGGCGTTCGGCGGCGGCAGCCGGGTCTGCAGCGACACACCATCTGACCTCGGATCGGCGGTGGCGGCATGGAGGGCCTGGTGGTTGGGTCGGCACCATGCGGGTTGTGCCCTCCGGACAGATCTGATCTGGCCGGTGCGGCCTGCTCGTTGTGCGGCGGCTCAGATCGGCGGCGACCCGTGCACACATTACGTGATGGAGGTTCTTCGAGCGGATCCGGGTGAAAACCTTGTGCTCGGCTTCATGCCATGGCCGGCGTTGGTGACACCCTGTTGTGTCATTACCTTCTTGAAGGCATCGCCGTGGAGAAGCTCTAGACCTCTATCCGCTACCTCCGGGGGAAACCCTAGATCAGTTGATCGGATGACGGCGGCGCGTTGGTGTCGTTTCCTCCTTGGGGGCGTCATTCTTGGAGGCGTACACGGGATCGAGGGACCAGCGGGCGCCTTTTTGGTGGAGCGGTGCTTCATCCTTCTCATTGATGACGGCGGATCTCGGCGGCGTGGTGCGGTGGAGACTCGGCGCCCGATGCGCCGTGATGGACTCGCGCAGGTGGAGGTAGTTGTCTGGCGTCAAGGTGGCGTCGATGACGGAGTGACCTCACAAGGTAGAAACCTCAATATCTGCTCTGAGGACGGACATGTGGAAGATGGCGGCGACGACACATGGGAGTGCGTCAGACCAGTTTATGCCCCAGACCCAGTATGTGGCTCGGATGGGGCTTCTGGCTTTGGATGATAGGATTAGGTGAGTAGTCTGGGTATGTGGCCCAGGTAGCACCCCTGCATCATTTGGATAGGAGTAGTGGCATATGTTGTCAAGATGGCGGATTCAGGCATATTGTTGTAATACTTTGTAAAGTCCTCAAGAATAATCAATAAAGTGGCCGTACGCATCTCCCAGATGCAGAGGCCGGGGGTCATCCTCCTTTTCTAAAAAAAAAAAAAAAAAAAAAAACAGGGTTTGCATTCCTTGGGAAGAAAAGGTATCCAAGATTCTCGATCTTCCTCTGTTGTTTAGAGATTTTATTGCATGTATGTTGAACTAAGGTGAGGCAGCGATTCGTTGTTTTTGCAGTACTGGCCTAGCTCCTCCTCAGCAGTCCCAAGCAAAGAAGACCAAACTGGGAGAAGCAAAGAGACGAAAAAAAGGGAAGGAGGAGAAAGAGCAGCAAAATTAAGCCTGGGAAGCAAAAGGCATGCTCTGCTTATCACAACAGTCATCTCTCTTTCTAGACCAGCGAGCCGAACGCAGAGGAGAGGGGAGGGGAATCGCCCGATGGCAGAGATGGGGCAATGTATTTGCAGCTGCTGAGCACACATACCTTCAGCAGGGAAGAGCCTAGAGGTAGGAGGGAGAGCATCAGCTACTGCCTTAACCCCCGGAGACGAAGAGCCATGGACCTCGGCAAGCAACCCGAGGAAGAAGAGCAGTCTCCAGCCGCATGGCATCCTCCGCGCCCCCATCTCTCTCCTCCAGCTCCAAGGTCCAACCGAGCCAGCTGATCTTCCAAGTGGAGCGCAACGGCAGTGGCGAGGTCTGTCTCGGACTCTCAGGGAGGATGAGTGGAGTGACTTGGCTCCTTTCTATGCAAAAAGGAAGCAGTCCAAGTCCGTCCAGGATATTTCCCTCTCCTTCTCCCAGGGCTGCAGTGCAGTGCGTCTTTACTTTTCTGATTTTCTCCGGCATGGTTCAGGCCCTCAGACTGTGCCCGCATTGCACTTGTTTGGTACCGCCGTCCCGTGCCCTGCGCAGAACGTGGACCTGAGTGAGTCAGCCGCGAGCTGTGAAAACTCGCAAAAATAGAAGGCCCGCGTCGTCCCAGTACTGCTTTTTGCCGTATACGATGCTGTGTCCTTGT